TCCCTGGACCTGAATGTCACTTTGAAGCTGTTACACAAGCAGTCCTCATAACTCATCCTGCTGAAGCAAACATGATTCCTATCTTGCTAACAAAACACTGGATGGCAAATAGCTTTTTTGATAAAGGACACAATGGCAGACTCTGCTACGAAGTCTCTCTGTGTCCCTGAGAAATGATGCTCGGTTTCTTCATTTGTAAATGATAGTCGGAGTTATTGGCCACATGGAAATTTCCAAGACTCTATGAAGTAGCACTCAGGTTTCTCAATACAAGCTCTAGTTTGGTTCAGGCTGATAACAGGTCCAGCCAGTAGCTGCCGGCTATCACCATAACTTCATCTCTTCTCTGCCCTCTTTTTCACAGGCAGCATCTCCTCATAAAGGGAGCTCAAGGCTTTGGAAAAGGACACAGAATACTAAATGAAACAGAATACTATTCGGAACCACTGAGTCAGACTTCCTAGGATGGCAGTTCCCTCTGGTCTCTCTAGCATCAGTTAACTGTTTTCTTATTGCCACTGTTGTAGTTCAGATTCTCAGAATCTGACACCCAGAATACTGCAATAGCCTCTTGATACATCTCTCACTATCAGTCCACCCTTCACACGGTTACCAGACTGATTTATCAATCAGCATACCACTTCAGATCATTCAGTTCTGTTTGCTCTAAAAAGGTCACAATGAGTAGCTAGTATGTGTTGGATATACACGGTGCTTCTTGTTTTTTCATGGGGATTATCTATTGACTGCTATAACTTTTGGTCCTGGGTGATGCTCACTAGCCAGAATTTTTAGGACAGAAAGTTAAAGAAAGTAGATGGGAAAAAAAGAATAGGAAAAGAGGGGATAGATATAAGTATTGTCAGTTAAGAAATTTTAAAATTGGTTTAAAAAGCTGTACAGCCCACAGCTTACAAGACTGAATGATTTCCCCCCAAGATTAGGAATAAGACAAGGATGACTGCTCTTGCCACTTCTACTCAACTCTGTACTAGTGGTTCTAGCCAGGACAGTCAGTCAGGCAAGAAAAAGAAATAAAATAGTCGTATTTCTATACACCTGCAATGAGCAACCTGAAAAAAAAAAAAAAAATTCCATTGACAGTAGCCTCAAAGAGAATAAAATACTTAGAAATAAATTTTACTAAATAAGTATAAAACATACTGTGAAAGCTACAAAACATTATTTAAAGATGACCTAACCAAATGGAAATACAGCCCATGTTTATGGACTGGAAGACTTAACATAGTAATACTCCTCAAAATGATCTATAGATTAAATGTAATCCCTATCAAAATCTTTGCTGGCTTCTTTGCAGAAATTGACAACTGTATCCTAAAATTCATGTGGAAATTCAAGGAATCCAGAATAGCCAAAAGAATCTTGGAGGATACACACTTACTAATTTCAAAACTTACTACAAAGCTACAGTATTCAAGACAATGTGGTATTAACGTAATCAGGGATATACACAAATCAGTGGAATAGAAATGAGAAGTTCAGAAATAAACTCATATTTATGGTCAATTTTTTTTTATTTTTTTTTTATTGTGCTTTAAGTGAAAGTTTAAAGTGAAAGTTTACAGTTCAAGTCATAGAAACATTTATACACACATTGCTATGTGACCCTAGCTGCTCTGCCTATAATGTGATAGCACACTCCTCCTTTCCACCCTGGATGTCCCATGACCATTCAACCACCTCCTGTCCCTCTCTGCCTTCTCATCTCGCCTCCGGACAAGAGCTGCCCATTTTTAGTCTGATGCATCTACTTGAGCTAAGCAGCACACTCTTCAGGCATATCATTTTATGTCCCACAGTCCAGCCTAATCTTTGTCTGAAGAGTTGGCTTTGGGAATGGTTTCAGTTCTGGGCTAACGAAGAATCTGGGGGCCATGTCTTCCGGGGTCTCTCCAGTCTCAGTCAGACCATTAAGTCTGGTCGTTTTACTAGAATTTGAGTTCTGTACCCCACTTTTCTCCTGCTCCATCCGGGACTCTCTGTTGTGTTCCCTGTCAGGGCGGTCATTGTGGTAGCTGGGCACCATCTAGTTCTTTTGGTCTCAGGCTGATGCAGTCTCTGGTTTTTGTGGCCCTTTCTGTCTCTTGGGCTAATACTTTCATTGTGTCTTTGGTGTTCTTCATTCTCCTTTGCTCCAGGTGGGTTGGGACCAATTGCTGTACCTTAGATGGCTGCTCGCTAGCTTTTAGTTTAGCCCAGCTGTGCTGACTTCCCCTGTATTGTCCGTCTTCTTACCTATGATCTAATTAGTGAATACCCCTCTCCCTCCCTACCCTCATAACCATCAAAGAATTTTTTCTTCTGTGTTCATTTCTTAAGTTCTTAGGATAGGACTCTCATACACTATTTGTCCCTTTGCGACTAATTTCACTCAGCGTAGTGCCTTCCAGATTCATCCATGTTATGTTTCGCAGATTCATCATTATTCTTTATTGTTGTGTAATATTCCATTGTGTGAATATAGCATAATTTGTCCATTGATGGGCACCTAGGTTGTTTCCATCTTTTGGCTATCGTGAACGTGGGAGTGCTGGATCGTATGGTACTTCTATTTCTAGCTTTTTAAGGAAGCGCCAGATCGATTTCCAAAGTGGTTGTACCATTTTATATTCCCACCAGCAGTGTATAAGTGTTCCAGTCTCTCCACAACCTCGCCAACATTTATTATTTTGTGTTTTTTTGAGTAATGCTAGCCTTGTTGGGGTGAGATGGTATCTCAGTGTAGTTTTGATTTGCATTTCTCTAATGAGGAAATGCTCACAAGCATTAGCCATGTATCTGTTAGCTGCCTGAGTGTCTTCTTTGGTGAAGTGTCGGTTCATATCCTTTGCCCATTTTTTAATTGGGTTATTTGTCTTTCTGTTGCTGAGGTTTTGCAGTATCTTGTAGATTTTTATTGTAGCCAAAATGTTTTTTCCCAGTCTGTAGGTTGTCTTTGGACTCTTTTGGTGAAGTCTTTTGAGGAGTGTAAGTGTTTGATTTTTTGGAGCTCCCACTTATCTAGTTTCTCTTCTGGTGTTTGTGCATTGTTAGTAATGTTTTGTATTCCGTCTGTGCCATGTATTAGGGCTCCTAGCATTGTCCCCATTTTTTCTTCCATGATCTTTATCATTTTAGATTTTGTATTTAGGTCTTTGATCCATTTTGAGTGAGTTTTTGTGGATGGTGTGAGGTATGGGTCTTCTTTCATTTTTTTGCAGATAGATGGGATGGTCAATTGATTTTTGACAAAGGTGTCAAGACCTTGCAGTGGTACTGGGACAACACTGGAGAGCGATATTCAAAATAATGAATTAGAACCCTACCTCATACCGTACACAAAAAATGAACTCAAAATAGATCAAAGACCTAAATAAATGTAAGCGATAAAATGATGGCCTTGGTTAGACAATAGTTAGTTCCCTAGATAAAACATCAAAAGCACAAGTTACAAAAGAAAAAAAATACATAAATTGGGCATCATCACAATAAACGTTACATAAAAAAGAACAAAACCTTTTGTGCTTCAGTGGACCCTTCAAGAAAGTAAAAAGACAACCCACAGATTGGGAGAATATATTAGCAAATCATATATCTAGGAAATGTCTAGTATTCCGAAAATAAAGAAGACTTCTTATAGCACAACAATAAACTGATAAATGAGCGAACGATCTGAACAGACATTTCTCTGAAGAGGATATACGAATGGCCAATAAGTACAGGAAGAGATGCTCAGCATCATTAGTTATCAGGAAAATGCACATCAAAACTACAATGAGATACCAGTTAACAACCACTTAGATGGCTATAATACAAAAGGCATATTAACAAGTTACAGTGAGGATAAGTTGGAGTCTTCATACACTACTGGTGGAAATGTAAAATGGTTCAACTGCTCAGGGAAACAGTCTGGCATTTCCTCAGAATGTTAAACACAGAGTTATCATATGATCCTAGAATTACTCCTAGATATATACCCAAGAGAAATTAAAACATATGTACACACAAAACCTCGTACACAAATGTGCACAGCATCATTCTTCATAACAGCCAAAAAAGTGGAAACAAATGTCCATCAACTGATGAATGAGTCAATAAAATGTGGTACATCCATACAATATTATATATAATAGAATATTATTTGGCAATAAAAAAAATCTGAAGTACTGAGTTCATGCTACAACATGGATGAACATTATATTCAATGAAAGAAGCCAATCATAAACGACCACAAAGTATATGATTCTGCTTATAAGAAATGTCCAGATTAGACAAAGCTATAGAGACAGAAAGTAGATTAGTAGATTAGTGATTGTCTGGGGCTAGGGATCGATTGCTGATGGGTATAGGTAGGGTTTCTTTATGGGATGATGAAAATGTTCTAAAATTGACTATGATGATGGTTGCACAACTCTGCCTGTACTGAAAACCATTGAATTGTGTTCTTTCACTGGGTGAATTATATCATTAAGGCTGTTACTAAAAAAGCTGTTCATCTGCATATGTGTGTGAATACTTTGATTAAACTTTGGTAATTCTTTTTTGTTATGTCTGTCACAACAATCATGTATTCATTTAGATTATTTTTCCATGACCACTGTCTTAGCTTTATAACCACTGTCTTAGCTTTATAATGTGTAACAGACTAAAAAAAATTTATAAAGACAACTGCTAATGAAACCCATCCTTTTAGAACATTATTTAAAAGAAACATATTAAAGACATTAAAACCTCTAAGCTATCTTTTTCTTCTTCTGTGTAGTCATTGCATCAACATCATCAACACATTGTCATTGTTTCTGCTGACCACTAGTAGCTTTATCCTAGTATTTAATATATTTACTGTCAATTCACTTTATCAGAAATGCCACTACTTTTTAACAGTACATTTATGCAGTCTAGTAGCTCCTTATTTGTTTGCTACTAACAGCCTAAATGTTAATTATAGTTATATCTATGGCAACCAAGACAACTTGATGTTTCCATTATTTTGTACTTACCCCTTTTGAATCAATCACTCCAGGTTTTGCATTAAACTTTACTGTCTTCAATCGGGCACGTTCCTTTCTTTCCACCCTGAAGAAAATTGACATAAAGAGTGTCACGTGACAGAGCATGTATGACTAAGTTTCTTATTAAATGAAGAACTCCTTCTTCCTCTTATCCTTATGGCTCAAATAAAATGTCTTCTAAAATAGTTCTGTTCCTTTGTTCACTATAAAGACTTGGCATAATGTCTCTAACCTGTAGGCCTCTTGAAATTGACAGTGTTACAAGTACTGAGAGTTACAGTATTTGGAAGGAACAAAAGAAAAGCCAATATTGAAAAGCCAATATTTGTTATGCTGATACTTAAATAAATAATCTATTTCAACAACTTAGTCGATAGAGGTGAACACCTAGAGCAGAGACTAAGCAAGCTTTTCCTTTGTTTCCATCCCTTCTTTTTCTTTTCTTTCCGTTAAGAGCACGAGAATTTTTAGCATCACTTCAAAACAAAACATTTTCCCTACTTCATTCATTTAAATATTCATTGAATCTATCAATCAGGCAAGGAGCTGGGAAGCAAAGAAAATTTTTTAAAAAACATGGCTGCAGTGAGCTTGCGGCAGGAACAGAGAAGTAAACAATAAACGATACTGCTTCACGATAAGACTGCTGATAGCAGTTTTGGAACACTGACCTCCTTGGACGGTGAAAAGGAGGAATGGAAAGCATTGGGGTAGACTTCTGGGAGAAGGGGTCAATGTACTTGAGACTTGAAGGATGAGTAAGAGCAGGAAAAAGTCAGGGAGAACTTCCCAGACAGGAGGAACATGTACCATGATTCAAAGACATGAGCAGACTGTAAGACTGCTAGAAGATTCATGTACAGGGTACATAAAGGACATGGGGTGAGACCTTTCTGAAGAGTCTTCATCCACACTGAAGACTTTTTTTTTTTTCCCTTGAGGGAGTCAGTGGAGGAGAAGAAGCAGGAAAATAAAATTGATGGTGATGGGACTGGTACTTGTTTGAATGCTAGGGTTGAAGAGGAAAAGACAGGAATCTAAATTTCTCCCTGATTTTTTGAAGCGTCTCCATTTAAACATGATCATTTCTTCCTCCAAGATGCAACAGTAATTGATACCTCTGTGTTGGTATTATCTCTTGGAGTCTATGTGCTTTTTTTTTTTTTGCATTTGCACATACATACGAGGTTGTATGTTCCTTGAGGGCAAGTCCACATATCACTCCATAGTACTTAGCACTGTATTATAGCAAATCCTTAATAACTGTTGCATTAAAACAATATTCAGTGCATTGTTGTAACAAGGCCTTTTGGTTACACATGGCCAGCTTTACTTTCAAACAATGGGGAAAGAAAAGAAAAACAATGGAAATCCCCAGAAACTTAATGGTCTTCTTTGAAGTCTAAGCTATTCATAGATCAATAATTAACAGTATACTCCTTTCTAACCGAGGGTGTTCTTTTGTGTCTGCCACTGAAACAGTGAAGTTCAGGGTTTCCATAGTTACAGAATGGAATTTCAGAATATATTTTAGTGTGAGAGAAGACTATCTGAGTGAGTGGAAACAGCTGAACAAAAGTTTTCAAATCTAAGTTCAGATAGTAAAGCAATATACTTCTGCTTGTACCCAATGTAGTATAGTTACCAATGTACTATAGTCGGGAGGGGAGCAACGAGGACTACTGAGAAAATGCCTGCTTCGAGCTTCATCGCTTTTTTCAGTTTTAATCCTAGTACAAATGCTAATTCATATTCATCTCATATTCATCTCTTTGGATCCTTCTAAAACTGTTGGTAGAGCCCTGACTTTCTCCTGGCCTCTTTGCGTTAACATTGGGAAGCACTCTTTCATTAGATTATGCCAAAAAGACTTTGTGGAATGCAGAAAATACATAGTTATTCGATGAGGCCATAGAAATAAATTTTGTATAAACCCGCAAAACTCACACGGGCCCCAAACGTATATAATATTAGAGTAGAATACTGACTTCAGCCTAAGAATTGTCTGGATGGAGCATTTTAAGTTTTTTTCCTGATTTCAAAGTTCATCTTTTTCAGTTTTCCTAAGAAATATCTTTACTAGGCTATTTTTAGTGGTTGATCCTTTAAATCTTAAGTCAAACACCACCCCCCACACACCTCTTATATTTATTTGCTATGGTTTATTATTAATCTTCAGACAGGTAATAGAAAAAGTACAATTTGTGTTGTTTTGTTTTAAAAGCCGTACTGTATAAAGGTGGCATGATTTTGATTCACATGATGAAGGAAGTCAAGAAAGTTTTGCATCCCACTTGGGTTCAAAGTTTCATTAATAATAATAATGATAATATAAATGGCAGCTGGATTTAACATGAAATTATTAATGAAGTTCCTGCACACTGACATTCTCTCATTTGGTCCCTACAATGCAGTGGTATGTGCATTATCAGCCCCATTTTATGGATGGGGAATCTGAGGCTTGAAGCTTGCCAATCTAGAAAGTGGGAGAAAACAGGGCCTGAATCCTCTGACAGCCAGCTTTCATCTGTCCACAGCCACTCAGTTTGGGAAACAGTGTTCAAGGACCTTCTATGTCTGCCTTGTCCAATGGGAATTTTCAACACACATGAGATTTTGGATGGGTCATTTGCAGTTTTAAGGCCAATGCAGATGCCTGGAAGTCTGGGCTGAGTTTTTCACAGTTGATAACCACCCCCTTTCCACGTACCCCCATATCCCAAACATCCTGCATTAAATAAACCATAACCAAATTTAAGCATATGATCAATGAAGTAGTATCATATCAGTAACTGGCTGGCCTCAAAATTCAGAATACATTTGCTTTAACACTGAAATCCTGGTTAGCCAAATGTCCATTTGTAATATTACATCGCGAATAGTAAACTAGTTTCTCTCCTAAGCAATCTTTTTGCATTCACTGAAACGCCATCATATTTGTGCTTCCCCCCACAGAGGCCCGTTTGTTGCCTCTCAGGGGTCTCTGCTAACCTCTGTCCTTGGTAGCAGAGGCTATGGCTTATTCCTTCTTTCCTCACCTGCCTCAGTGCTTTCCTCTCTTCTAGCTTCCTGAGATGCACATGGATACTTTACTGCTGAAATGAGAGTTAGAGTGGGGAAATAGGGCTCTAAATAACACTATCTTATTTTCTCTGGCACTAAAAGCTAAAAGTTTGAGGAAAGGAAAATAGCCATCATTTGAGTGTGTACTAAGTATTAGAAGCTATGCTAAGCACTTTCCCTATATTATCTCTAATCTGTACAACAATTTAGGGCTTAACATGGAGCTGGACACATAATAGATGTTTAATGAATGACTGAAAGTATGAATCGAGGAGACTACTAGTTCTTGATCTAGATGGGAAAACTAAAGCTCAGAGAGGTTAAATGACTTGCCCAAACAACAGGCATTTCCTACAAAACGTTCACCATTTCACAACTTTTTCACTTGGTCAGAATCTATGTAAATGTTCAGCATTACCCTCTCTAATTGTTTTACTGAGTAAGACTCATGGCATTATTAATGACATGATGATCCTTAGGTGTTTACCTAAAGAAATGGTGGGCCACCTGTATAGTAGAGGGAGTCTCACGAGAACTGTAGTACTTCCCTCACACTCAAGAGTCAAGCAATTAATTAGATTATTTAAGCAGAAATAATCCTCCCCACCCTATCCTGGTCACTGACCAAAATACTGAAAACAAACTGGGTGGCAACATTTGAGCAATGAATTCTGACACCTAGCACCTTCAGACAGTGCCAAATGGTCATGCTTTAATGAGCCCAACTGTTTCTCTCTACCCTCTCACCCCTCTCCCATCTGGTATTTTTAGGTTCCAGCCAAACACAGAATGGGGTCAGGCTTACAGCACTGGATGAATGGTGGGAACATCATTTGGTGCTTGGAATTCTTTTGTCTGTGCCTCACAGGGCCCTGTTGGAGGGAGATTGAAATGCCACCCACAAATAGTGGCCATAGGCTTGCTGCCTCTAGGAGGCTAGGTGAGTAAACCCTTGTTCAACGCTAGCCACAAGCTGCCATCTGTGAGTTCAGGTTACCAGTCACTGTGGGGCAGTGAACAAACACTTGGAATAACAGACTGTAGGACAAATCCCAGTATGGCCACTCACAAGCTATGTGATCTCAGACAACAGAGGCTCTGTGCGAACTAAGCCTTTGAAATCACGGAAGCCTGGGTTTCAGTTCTGCCTCTGCCACTTAACTAGCTATGTGACTTAAAGACAGGTATTTAACCTTTTAGGATCTCAGGATTCATTGTCATAAAATTAGAATGTTAACACCACACAACTCAAAAAAAAATTATGGTGAATATAAAAGGAGAAAATATAGGAAATTTGCTTAGCACAGTGTCTACTACACGTTAAAAACTCGGTACGTGATAAGCGGCCGCTAAGATGATTATGGTAATGCCGTACATGGTGTCACTTGCCATCTCTTGTTCCACTTTCCTTACCTGTAAGAGGGTGGCAATAATTTCCATACTGTTCACCTCATGGCTTCACTGAGACAATGACTTGACATCATCAATAGAAACACATTTTTGTAAAGTGCAAAGTCATGCCCCAATTTTATCCATATGGAATTGTTCCACACCAGCTCTACTAGAGGAACCATGTTTAGGAGAGGGATTAGAGAGGATTAGGAATTTTTAAAAATCTTCAATTTAATAGCAAATCAGATTTATACCAGGTACCATTTAGTCTAAGCTATAGTTTTAAGATCCTGAATGCATGTGAAATGAAGGTATCTCATTTAGAAGTAAAATATTAAAGATCAGGTCCAGCGAGGCCTCACAACAGATTTTAAAATTTCATTTAATAATTAACTGATAAGGGTTCCTTGTGGATAAGCTTGATTATAAGTGATTTTTAAGTGATTTTCAGTTTATTCTCTTCTAAATTTTCTCATTTTCTATGACAAAAACATAAAACTAAGGTATTTTTGAAAGAGTTCAAATCCTAAGGAGACATTTTAAAGAAATTCATTTACAGATATATATCTCTCCCCGTGAACCCTGCCACAGGTTACTAAGCCATTCGTGAAATAGAATTGAAATAAATATCAATATTGGAGTCACTGGACCAAGCTTCTTTTAAAGGCCAGCCGTTGTATGGTTGTTAAGATGGTTTTCATCCGGAATAGGGGTGCAGTAGCCAATTCAACAATGATCACGAGGAGATGCAAAATTATCTCAAGAGGAGTAGCACTGAGAATGTTCCTTAGATGGACAGTTATGTGCAATCAACAAATGAATGACTGTTGACAAGATTGGTTAGAACAAATCATAGAATCCCAGGGTTGCAAAGAGCTTGAAAATCATATAGTTCAACTCTCCCATCCAAAACTTGGATCTCTTTTATAATATATACTGCTAAGGGATCTTCTATCATCAGGATCATCTGGAGGAACATATAAACAAATACAGATTTCCAAGACCCACTCCAGTTGTACTAAATCAGAATCTTAGGAGGGTATGTGTGTGTGTAAGGGGAGGTGGTGGGGAGTAGCATACATAACTTTTTACAATGTTCCCTTTTTTGGGCAACTATGGTTCTGGCTCACTATCTTTCCAGGTTGTCCAGATCATCTCTGGGCAGCTTTGATTGTTAAAAGGATTTCTTTAAAATGAGCTGAAATCTATTTACCCATAGCTTTCCTTCAACCACCTCGTTTTTATCCTTTGGGACCACATTCAACATGATAGCTCCTTCTAGAGAGCAACCCTGTCAGACAGCTTTGATGATTTACATTAAAGCAAACCAAAATGCATGTTATTTTGACATTTGTTGATGGAAATGGAAATGGTGAAGCACTGAATATAAACAAACTGCTGCTGAGAGTCACCGCTTTGAATACATAACCTTTCAGGAAACACAACAAGCCGTTGTATAAAGTCAGAATCCCTTCACAATGCAATGTTAGGCAATTATCCAGGAGCTCAACGATTTAAGTTTAAAGACACACAAAGAACAGGAGGAGTGAGCTGTCTGCAGATGGGAGAGATGCCCTGGAATTGCAGCTGCTTCACTGTGACTCCTGCCCACCGAAGGTGAGGGAGCAGCCGTGGAACAACCTGCCTGCTGCCCACCCACCCCTCACCCTCTGCTCACCCAAGTATAGGGTCCAGTCTTCTCTGGGGTGCATATGGCCCATAGAGTTATTCTTGGGTATATACTTCCTATCTTCTCTCTATGGTTTTTACCAGCTTAAGCACTCTATAACTTTGTATGTAGTAGTACTTGAACACCTGACCTCACTGAGGATCATTGCCAAGGGTGCTTTGGGTTTTTGGATATGAGGATATTATAAGGGCCTTTTGAGAAACCTGCAGCTCGAGAGAAGATGGGGACTATTTTGAATATGTGTGATTCCTGGCTTCGATTCCACACCACATCTATTTTCCAGAGGATGGACAACTTGTATTTCTTGGAGTCAAAAAGACATTCATGGGAAGAGAAATTCCTCTTTGGTGGTGGTGATTAGAAACTGCTGGGATAGATGAAGGAGTTGGCAGGTCTGAAGCATTTGCCTGCCTTTCAAGAGAAGAGTTGAAGAAACGCTCAGAGGAGAAAGGGTATGACAGTCCTGACTTAGAGAACACATACCCAGAACCAAAGACCCAAGTGGAACTTGGGAGTTTGAGGGCTGGGGTGAGAAATAGGAGTGAGTATAATAGTAAAACAAACAAACAAACTGTAAATACAGTCTTCACAACTCTTCAGATATTTGACAGTTCCTATATCAAGCATCTCAATTGGGGGATAAGGATTTTCAGTTTTTTTTCCATCAATATTTGGAGGCATTCCACAGCCAGGGGCTTAGCTTAGAAAATCATATACCTTATTTGGCTTTCACTTTGGCCTTTATCAATTATAAAATTCTCTGAAAAATATTGAGTCTCTAGAACAAGCCCTCTGAGTTTGTAAATCAGAATACAAGCTGATAAGCACAATCAAACGTGTACCGAACACGTGGAGGCTGGTAAACACTCTTAAGAAGGCAGTGTAAACAGACTCTTCCTTTCTGCCTTGACATAGTCACCAATTTTGGTAAAATCCTAATATAAGGAGAATAAGACTTTTTAATTTGTGTCACCTGTCACCACTGACAATTTTCTCGTGGATTGACTACTTCATTTAAATAGTTTTTTTACAACAGTTTTTCCCATCTCCCTCTTCTCCCATCTCCACTCCCTAGATAGCTGAAAAGCAAATATTCTGAAATATAAAAGGCATTCTTACCTCCTCTTGCTGGGGATGACACCCATCTCCTCACTGTCCCCCTCCAGTGTGACGCGCCTGGCCTGCCACCACTCATCATCGGAGGCGTTGATAACATGGAGAATATCTCCGTATTTAAAACTAAGTCCTTGACTTGGCAGCCCACTGTCCTTGCTCTTGTCATAGTCAAACATGGCTCTGGAGGAAATGACAAAAGAGAACACTGTTAGAAATCTCTGGTGGCTCAGATTTAGGATTCACAGTTTTCCACATTCACTCTATTCTGAGAACCCATTATCCACTTGACACCAACTTCCTGGATCACGTGTTGGATTGCAGCCTGCATTCTGACTGCTTTGGTCACCAATAGAGGTTCTGGCTTCTCCTTGGCAGTTGTAGTGGCAGCTTATAGACCCCTAAACGTGAGGTACTCCTTTTTTTGGAGACCATCATGTGTTACAAGGTAATACCGGAAGATGTTAAAGGCAGTTTAGTACCTGATTGAGATTTTTTTTTCTCTACTACTACAATCAGATTACAATATCACAATGAAGAGAAACATGCACATCTTTCTGCATGAAGTATTTTGTGCTGTGAATAAATCCTCTCAGATGTTTCAACCTATAGAACTCTTTCACTATAATTGGGAAAAATGGTAATAACTTAAATGTCCCACCATACAGGACTGCCATCCTTCCACTCAATAGAGAATTAGGCTGTCATTGAAATTTGATGGTTTCAAAGGTTAATGTAATACATGAACAAGTGCTTAAAATTTAATAAGTGAAAACATATATACCCATGTCTATATGTGTGTGTGTGTAGATAGACAAAATTATACATATCTTCTTTTTGCTTCCATAGAATGCTGAGCCTACCTCATCATTGCACGTATCACGCGTCACACTGCACTGTAATTCTTGCTTTCTGTATCATGTTTCCTCCACTAAATAGCATTTGCTGAGCCTTTTCTAAGCTCCAAGGACTGTCATATGTATGACTGGTGGGGAGAGAGGGCTGGAAGCAGAATTCAAATGACATAACAAGACCTTGGTAACTAGCTGTTACCCTAGGGAGCTGACAATTTGTCTCAAGCCATATATTGTCCACTTCCTCCTCTATTCCCCTCTTTCAAAAATCACCACCACACACATACAGCATATAATTTCTCCATAAAACCAGAATTTACCACCTCCCTGTTTATTCCCTTTTGATTCCATTCTAAGAATTTCCTTGGGCTGTAACCACTATGCATGCAAAACAAGTTGGATCTGGGGAACAGATTTTTAAAAAATTACTGAGAGCCAAGTGTGATTATTTCCTTTTCTTCTTTTTTTTTCCCCATGAAAGAAATGTCACGTCTGCTGTCATGGCAACCAAAAAGACCTGAAGACAGCATCTACAGCTCTCAAATATTGCAGGAAAAGTTAAATCATTTACAATACAACCCTTCTTTCATTAACCCTGCCCCCAAGCCATGGAATTTGGGGGATACATTCTTAGCCTGAGTTCCCAGAGTGAATCATTTCCACATCCACCATTAGCATCTTCCCTACCAAAGGCTCACACAAAGCCCCAGCCAAGACGGGAGGTGGGGGGGCACGCAGACCCACAGAAGCCACTCCTGACACTACCACTTCTCTGGTTGTGTGGTGCCACATAAATTAGTTACATTCCTGAGCCACAGGTACAAAATTTATGTAATAACTACGTTAGCATGGACCTGTGTGGACATTAACCAAATAACACATATAAAACCACCCAGCCCATGGTAGGTATAATGTCACAGAGTGTAGCATAGTGACTGTCAGGGCCACATCCTGGTCCTAATACTTCTTACTAGCTGTATAGCTAGTTACCTAGGCAAACTACTTAACCTCTCTTAGGCCTCACTTTCTGCATGTATAACAGTGATGATGATGATCACGATGTCAATAAGAGAACCGCCATCATGGAACTGTTATAAGAATAAAGTGCTACATACAGTAGTATATGTAAAGCACATACAACAGTGCCTGGCACATAGTGACAATCCATAACTATGACTATTGTTATCGCCTTCTCCCCTTTCCCTCTTGAGTGGATACTCCTAAGAATCCTTTCTATAGATTCCACTCTGTGCAAAAAGAGTGTTAACATAGCAGGCCTGCGACTGCTGTTGTTAAAAAGGTTGGCTTGCAAGTCTGGCCCTTGGCTGATGTCTCGGAACTTCAATTTTGGGAGGTTTCCCAATATTTCCTAATAAGAGTATCTCACTGTGCCTAAACTATGCCTAACTGTGTCAGAAATTCAAGCTGGATTTAGAAGAGGATGTGGAACCAGGGATATCATTGCTGATGTCAGGTGGATCCTGGCTGAAAGCAGAGAATACCAGAAAGACGTTTACCTGTGTTTTATTGACTATGCGGCATTTGACTGTGTGGATCATAACAAATTATGGATAACATTGCAGAGAATGGGAATTCCAGAACACTTAATTGTTCTCATGAGGAACCTGTACATGGATCAAGAGGCAGTTGTTTGAACAGAACAAAGGGATACTGTGTGGTTTAAAGTCAGGAAAGGTGTGCCTCAGGGTTGTATTCTTCCACCATACCTATTCAATCTGTATGCTGAGCAAATAATCCAAGAAGCTGGACTATATGAAGAAGAACGTGGCATCAGGATTGGAGGAAGACTCAGTAACAACCTGCATTATGCAGATAACACAACCTTGCTTGCTGAAAGTGAAGAGGACTTGAAGCATTTAATGATGATCAAAGACCACAGCCTATGTAAACCTATGGATTACACTTCAACAGAAAAAAAAAACAAAAATCCTCACAGCTGAACCAATAAGCAACATCATGATAAACGGAGGAAAGATTGAGGATGTCAAGGATTTCATTTTACTTGGATCCACAATCTACACCCATGGAAGCAGCAGTCAAGAAATCGAAAGACGCCCTGCATTGGGTAAATCTGCTGCAAAAGACCTCTTCACAGTATTGAAAAGCAAAGATGTCATCTTGAGGACTAAGGTGCTCCTGACCCAAGCCATGGTGTTCTTAATAGCCACATACACATGCGAAAGCTGGACAAGGAATAAGGAAGACCAAAGAAGAATTGATGCCTTTGAACTGTGGTGCTGGCAAAGAATAATGAATGTACCATGGACTGCCAAAAGAATGAACAAATCTGTCTTGGAAGAAGTACAACCAGAATGCTCCTTAGAAGCATGGATGGCAAGACTACGTCTCACATACTTAGGACATGTTATCAGGAGGGATCAGTCCCTGGAGAAGGACATCAAGCTTGGTAAAGTATAGGGTCGGCAAAAAAGAGGAAGACCTTCAACGAGATGGACTGACACAGTGGCTGCAACAATGGGCTCAAACGTACCAACAATTGTGAGGATGGCACAGGACCAGGCAGTGTTTCGTTCTGTTGTGCATAGGGTCGGTATGAGTCGGAACCGACTTAATGGCACCTAACGACAACCTGTTTGTGCAAACAATGTGGTTTATGCTGAATACCTGCTTTCCTTCTAGGAGTCTGGAATTTTTGGCCATGTGCTAGGCAGACGGTGCCTATGTGACCAGCCCCTAATAAAAGCTCTGGGCACTGAGTCTCTAATGAGCTTCCCTGGGAGACAACATTTCACACCTGCTGCCAAAATTAGTTGCTGGAGAAATTAAGTGTATCATGTGTAATTCCACTAACAGAGAACTCTTGGAAGCTTCTGCCTAGTTTCCTCTGATTTTTTGCTCCATGTACGTCTTCCCTTTGCTGATTTTGCTTTGCATCCTTTTGCTGTGATAAATGATAGTCATCAGTACACCTAAATGCTAAGTCCCGTGAATCCTCCTAGCAAGTCATCAAATCTAGGGGTGGTCTTGGAAAGCTGACACACACTCTATAGACTGCAAAGCATTTTCACATATACTGCCTTATTTGAGACTTAATCCATTCATGTGAGGAAGGTACGATAGGTACAGTCCTATACCCCTTTTACAGGTGGGGCAAGGCCCACTGACTAACCCAAGGTCACACGGCAAAGTGGCACAATCCAGGGCTGCCACTTAGATCTCCTGATCCCAAGTCCTAGTTCTGTGATCTTCACCTTGTCCTACATAATCTGGAAGGTGATGTTGGTGGCGGAGAGGTTACGTTGTTGTTCTTAGCTGACCGTCTAAGTTGATTCCAACTAATGGTGACCCCATGTGTGCAGAGTAGGATGGATCCATAGGATTTTCAAATCCATAGGATTTTCAAGGCTGTGACCTTTCAAAAGCAGATTGCCAGGCCTGCCTTCTGAGGAACCTCTGGGTGGGTTTGAACTGCTAACCTGGCTAGTAGTTGAGCACTTAACCGTTTGCGCCACCCAGGGACTCCATGATAACCATAATGACTACCATTACTTACACATGTGGTAGAGACGACATGTAAATCCAGGTCCTTTTGACTCAAAAACCCACGTTCTCGACCATTTCGTTATTTCTGTTTCCCAGCCGGTCGCTCTTCTGGCCGTGTTCACAACCTACCAGTAATGTGCACGTTTAATTCTCCCTTAAGCTTTAACCATAACTCCTTCCCAAAGTCCTGAAGCTCCCTTCTTGTTCAGTTCTTGTTCCAGTGATTCTTACCCTAAAAAAGTCTTTGAACCTCTGGCGTGGCTCTGATCTTTTTCCAGATATAATGTGCTGGGAATAGGGGGCTAGAGAGACCATCAGGACAACTAGCAGGTGGTGGTTAGGAAGGTGGGCTCTAGGGTCAGATTACCTGGGGCTTGCAGCTTTTAAACTATGTGACCTTGAGCAAGTTACTTAACCTCTCTAGGCCTCAAGTTTCCTTAATGGTAAAACTGATAGCACCAGCTACCTCAAAAAGTTGTGGTAAGGATCAAATGAAGTAATATATGTAAAGTATTCCAATAACAGAAGTGTTAGCTATATTATAATTGTTATTCTAAAAAACGTATTGGCTTTGAACCAGGGGTTCTGGTTCCCAGCTCTACCACTTAGTAACTGTCTAGTGGACCATGTGCAAAGACATCTAAAACACCCCTCAATCCTCAAGACCCAGTACAGTGCCTGGCGCAAAGTAGACAATACACATCTGTGGCATAAATTTGAAGGAGAAAAAATTTCGATGACCTCTGTAAGTTCTTCCTCTCTCAAGCCTCATTGTCTTCATTTGTAGGGAGTGGGGGAGTAGAG